GAAGCCTGTCTGGTGGCTGTGAATGAGTCTCTGCTCCAAGGACGCTTCTTTCTCACACCAACAGGCACCAGCATTCCTCCTTCAGCTTACTGTCTTGCTGCTTGTCCCAACAAAATCAAAGCAGTACAGAAGGTAACTAGTATTTTCAGTACTGTAAATGTGCTAGGGAGCCTGTTCTCCTCTTTCATGTTATGATGTATAATTTTCTTTTTGGCACTAAGGTAATGATACTAATTAGAAACAGGTTTGAATTAAAATGGTGGATCTGAACAGCATGAAAAAGAGGTGAACAATGAACAACTGGCATCTGAACTAAAAAGGCCTGCCTCAGAGCAGGACCAGACCACTGCTTCCACAACCTGGAGCAGAATGTTTTACTGTAAACGCCAGCTGTAAGGGAGTTCTCTTATTTATGTTTAAACAACTTTTTTCAGCATGTAAAAAAATCTCATCTGTCACCACAGCACTCAAAATCCACCCAACACTTCAAACTGCCTCAAATCCTGTTTCTGATACAGCAGCTAGCCACAAAAATCAAGGGGTTGAGCTGGTCCTGCAGAACGTGTGTCCCCACACATGGCAAAACCAACGTGCGACAGCACACTCAGAACACTTGGGTCCATCAGTTATAAAAGAGGCAACTGACCTTTGCTAGACGCTTCATGTATTTATCCATGATGATCTCGTTAAGGGCCAGTTGTCCCACAAGCCCAGCCGAGCACCTTTGTCTCACCGAGAGGACAGACGATGACTGGCAGGCAGCAGCACGGCTGCGCCGAGCCCCGGCCCCAGCCCCACAGGGAGTGCTCCCCAGGCAAAGCCTCCCAGCAGCTAAGTCAGCACAGTGGCTTCCTTCAGCACAGTTACTTCTGCCTCTGCCCTTCTACTTGGGCAGACAAGCGCAACAAAACCAGTGCAGGGATGAGCAAGGCCATTTGTCCCCCCAAACAATAGGACACTAACGGCAATTTCATGCAAGGTTTCCTCCGCATTTCAATGACAATGACCCTTAACTCCCTTGATCCTCAACCAGGCTCTTAAGCAAAAATGTAAATATGGTAATGACCGTAGCAGCCATCTGACCCAGGATCTTAATTCCCTGGCCCAAACCAAGCTATTTTTCCCTATTTCTTCCTTATTTTAGAGCAGACACACCATAAATTGAGGGCCCCACAGCAAAACTACAAGACAAAAATGAGGGGAGGGGGCCTGGCAAACTCTGATGGAAATAGGAAATACAGTTGAGAAAAGAAAATGAAATCTCAAATTGTTCCTCCTCTTCAATTAAAGACACATCAGCCACGGCTGAGTGAGCAAGTAGGGTGGAGGCTGGTGCTGCAGACAGACAATGAGTATCTTGGGAAAACGCAGACTTTTCACGTCATGCGGCCAGCTGCTCCTCTCCCCCATGGCAAACAGCTCCCTGGGGCATCAGAGCAGCTGGAGAGTCAACAGCTGAAGTGGGCACAACATGAGGATCCTTGGCTGGCTTTAGGATTGCAGATCTGTTGCAGGAACAGAGAATTTGCTACCACCCATGGGTTCCCCATTGAGGCACCTTGGCATCACCCAAGCCATAAGCTGACTTCGCAATGGGCAAGGCTGAAAGCAACTTCATCTTATTTGGAAGTTGGCTTTGAGCTGGATGAGTCCCTTCAAATCTGAATCATTCTACGGGCTGGTGGTATCTTCACTTCTGGGAGAGACTGGTCTGGTGGTCAGGCCTCCTGGCACTGACTCCAGCTCTGCTCCAGACTAGGAGGCAGATTCTGGAAATAAATTGCCCTGAGCTTTAGCTTCCCTTCCTATTATATGGAAATGACAACTGCCTTATTTCCCACCAGAAATGAGCTATCAATAGTAGGCCTGCTTCTTGTTCACATGTAGGCCCTTTCCTACTGGAAAGGGGGAGTCAATCATGTGCAAAATCTGTTCAACTCCAAAGGTTTCAGAAACCACTCTGAGCTTTACTGGATTTGAACTCGGGCTGTTAGATGGCATAGTCTCCGCAATCTAGGGATGCTAACAAGCTTTGGAAACAACCAGACCATCTCCAGCCCCAAGGGCCATGCTGTAGTTAAATCAAGAGCCTCCAAGTCAATACATGGAATCGACAGACTGCAAGTTGAAGCTGTGAAAAAGCATTTAAGACAGGCATTGAAACTCTCCTCAAGAGTGTCACACATTTTACCAGAGCCCATTTGCTACCTTTCCAAAGTCTCTGGGGTCATGCTGTGAGTTAGTGAGAGGGTTTTTTTGTTTGCTTTTAAAAACAAAAAAAAAAAAACAAAACAAAACACACAACAATGTGGC